TAAATTAAAATTTAACAATTTTAATGATATTGAGAGAATTAATGATAACTATAATCATAACCTTTTAACCGATATTAAAACATTTTTTTTAATTAAAGAAGAATACCCTTGCTTTGGGCTTGAATGTTCAAATATTTCTCTTCTTATCGGACTCTTTTACCTTTTTACAGTAATATTCAAAAAAAACATTTAATGGGTGGTTCAAGATAAAAATTAAAAATTTGAAATTAAAAATTTTAAATTGAAACATTAAGTCAAATAAAAAGAAATTTGAGAATAGTGAATAGTTATTCTCTCTTATATAAACTATAATCAGATATAAAAAAATAAAAAATAAAGGCAAAACTCAAATGCAGTTAGCATTTCTTTTAATAAAAATGGGTTAAAGCAAACATTATTTGATTCTTTCTATTAAAACCACTAGGTTAACATACTTTTTCTTTTTGAAAAAAAATCAATTAAAAATTTTTTGGCCGAACATTTATTTCATAAAATACAGTCTTACAATTTAGCAATAGTCATAATTTTTTTTTTACTATAACTAATTATAAATTATATAAGAATGGATATTCATCTATATTCTTAAATTTTTTTCTACTTGATTTAAAATTTGAACATAAAATTTTTAACTTAAAATCTCATTTTTAATTTAAAATCTCAAAATTTTAACTATTAAGCCACTTCTTTAGAGATAACAATAATCATAATTTATGCTTTCAAAATTAATAAGTATCAATTTATATTATAAAAAATTAAATAAAATATTTTTAAATTACTTTATTTTAATAAAATATTATAAAAAATTAAAATAACTTCATTCTTGTTTCAAAAATTAAAATTTCTTAATTTTTTTAATTGAATTTTATTAAATCAACGTAATTTTAAGATTTTTTTTTTATTTTTTTATAATATAAACTAATATTTATTTATTTTTATACCTTTTTCTTATTAGTAAACAAAACGCATAAAGAACTATGTATCCATTAATTTCATAGATGAGGTTCACTTAATTCCAGATTTAAATTTAAATTTTTAGTTTTCATTTTGTATATTTATTATTTAGTAACTAATATTATATTTAAAAATTAAAATTGATCATATTTAATCTAAATATATTATTGGTTATTATTAAATGTAAAAATAAAAAAATTAAACTTTAAATCTTAACTAAATAGGTAGAACTTGGGAGTTTCAAGACTTTTTACTCCATTTCTCAAACAAATTAATGAAATGAAATAAAATAAGATAAAGCGTAGCCGCTGGAGACGACCAGCAAACAACACTCTTTTTCTTGTGTTTTCTGGTTTTTTTTTTTTTTTATGAGTCAACAATCAACATCCTGTTTTCCAAACTGGCATTAATTTATTTTTTTATTTTAAATTGAAGAAGGGTGCTCATGGTGTGTGCTTGTATGTACAAATATTTCTCTTTTTATTGGACTCTTTTATTCTTCAAATTTTTTTAAATTAAAAAATTTAAAACTAAAAGGAAGACATCAAGTGTTAACATATATTTTTTATTATTATTTAAGTAATTTAATAATAATCTTTCTTAATAAAATTAAAAAATTATAAATTTAAATCACTTAATTTATAAGTAAAATAATTTAAAAAATAAAAAATATTATCTTTTATTATATAATTTAAGATAAAAAAAATTATTCTGACAATACAATCATAAAACCAGTTATTGTAATGATTTTTTTTTTTATTTTCGCCGGCAATTGTTGGACACTTGTACCGATTTGGTTGTCTTATAAAGTTTTTTATTTTTGCGCTTTTATGTGTTTTTTTCTATCCTTTCACTTTTTTTTTTTTTGAAAAAAGCAATAATTAAAGGTGTTAATATGTTAGATATGTTAATATATAAAAAATATATTAAATCTAAAACATGATATCCAAACTACGACCTACCAAAAAGATAACAAAGTGGCGGTTGCACCACGTACCTGGAATGCTTAGATTGGATTATCTCCATGCGTTGAAACTTAAAACTGGATAATTTCCATGATGAGCTATGCCCTCATTTTCATTTTCTAAAGAGCATAGAAAAATCTTGGCAAAACCATAAGTTAAGCCCCTAAACTAACCCCAGAATCGCTATTAAGCCCCTAGACTTTAATTTAAGCATTTAAACCCCTAAACTCTGCAATAGAAGCAATTTAGCCCTTACTGTCACAGCCAACTTAACTGCTATTAATTGCCGTTAACTGCGGTTTGAGGGATTGCCTCGTGTGGTGAAATTGGCCATCTCATTCCCACGTGGCAAGGGACTTACATTTGATTTGTCCACTTGGATGAAAAAAGAAAAATTATTTAGGAATAATTTTTTTTTACAATTTTATATGTCATTTAAATAAATTTTTTTATTCATAGATTTGTCAAGCTTATATCTCAAGGGTATAAGTTAAAAATATAATAAATATATTATTATAATAAATTTGGGTTAAAAATAAAAATTAACTTTTAATTTTTTAACTGTTCAATTAAATTTATTCATTTAACACCAAGATTAAAATTAATATCAATTTTAATTTTTTTATGTGTTTATGATAAAAAATACTTTTAATATGTACTTTAAGAACACATATTAAAGAATTCATTTATTTATTTAAAACATGTGATATTAAATAAATTCACTTATTTAATAATCTATAAAAATTATATTAAAAAAATTATCTCTATATCACCCAAAAAAAAAAAGAGAAAGAAAAAAAAATAAAAGGAAGCCTCAAGTAATATAAGAACCACTTTTTTCTTTTCTTTCTCTATTTTTTAATATAGAGACAATTGTTTTATACAACTTTCATATATTATTAAATGAATGAATGTAATTAATATTATATGTCTCAAATAAATAAAGGATTTTTCTAACCTTTATCCTTAGAGCACATATTAAAAATATTTTTTTATCATAAACATATATAAAAAAATAAAAATTAATATTAATTTTTAGTTTTGATGCTAAATAAATAAATTTAATTGAACAGTTAACCTTTATAAATTACTTTTTAAATTTAATTAAACTACCTAATTAATAAAAAAAAATTTAACATGTTTCTTACTTTTTTCATTAATTTTTCTCCTCATTCAAATTTAGTAAATCTAGTTTTTTTATTTAGTATATTCAAATTTAATTGTCCACTTTTTATTTTTAGGATGTTATCTAATGTGTTTATTTTTATTTTATCCTTGTTTTAAAAAGATAATTACAATATATATTAAATAAAAAAATCTTATTTAAGTGATTTTTTTTTTAACATGGGAAAAATTTGAGAAATAAGAGATTTTTTTTAAGTTATTAGTGAAAATTAAACTCTCGACTAACTAAATCCAAATACTAAAACTTTAAAACAAATTATTGCCTCGAAGGTCTGGTTCTTATTTAAGTGATATGTAATTAAGGATAAATATGAAATTTTATTAATAAATTATTATATTTCTATTTTATTAGACAAAAAAATTAAGTCTACTAAAAATGAATGAAAGAAATATTATAAAGTATTTTTTTTAACCTCTACTCCTAAGGCATATATTAAAAGTAAAATAAATATATTTTTTTATCATAAATTTATATTGAAAGAATAAATGTTGATTTTCAATTTATCAACTATCTAATTAAATTCATTGATGTGACAATAAAATTAAAATTAATATTAGTTTTTGCAATTTTTTAATATAAATTAATGACAAAAATGTGTCTTTTAGGGCACAAATCTTTTGACACTTTAAATGTCAAGATTTCTTATAAAATTATTTAAATATTTTTAATAAATATTTTTTCTGTTAATTCACTAAAAGTACATTAGTTTTTTTCATTTTTATTTTTGACTTTTTAATTGTCTTTTAAACAATTTTGAAAAGCAATTAAAATACCAAAAATGATAATGAAAATATTAAAGTACCTTAAGTGAATTAACAATCAAAAATGTTCATTAAAAGTATTTAAATAATTTTATAGAAAGTTCTAATATTTAAAATACCAAGATATTTTGATTTTTTCTCTTAGGTACACATTTTTGTTATTAATTTATTTAGAAGAATATAAAAACTAATATTAATTTTAGTATTATTGTCACATTCATGAATTTAAGGGTATTTCTCACCTATCCCCTAAGGGATATATTAAGAAAGCAATTAGTGTACCTTTTTGTCGTTAAGTTACATAAAAAGAATAAAGTTTATTTTTAATTTTAATACTAATTAATTAAATTAAGATACTAATATTGATGTTAAAATTAATATCAATCTTTTTGTTTTTTTATGTAAATTAATGACTAAAAAGTATATTAATTATATCTTTAACTTGCGCTTTAAGGGTATAGATTAAAAAATTATAAATTTAATTATATAATTGATAAATTAAAAATCAATATTTATTCTTTCAATATAAATTTATGATAAAAAATGTATTTATTACAATTTTAAAATGTATTCTAAGGGTTGAAGTTGGAAAATTCCTTTCATAATAATTAAAGTACAAAAATAAGAAATATGTTAAAAATTATTTATTAATTAGGTTGTTTAATTAAATTTAAGAAGTAATTTATAAAAATTATTGAAATAAAATGTATTATTAATTAAAATAAAAAATATATTATTATTTTATTAAAAAGTATCACCTAAAGATATGTATATTATATAATATTAATCAATTAATTTAAAAATTTTAATTAATTAAAAAATATATTATTACTAAAAACAAATGAAGTAAAGGAAAAAAAAAACATGTAAAGGCGTGCAAGTGCAATGCCACGCAAGCCAATAACAAACGGTGTCATGAAATCAGTTAGCAGAGGGGCTGATTTGCACCAAACGCGAGGTTAGAGGGCTTCTTTGTCACTTTTTTAGTTCAGGGGCTTGTCACTTGCTATTAAAAACGTTAAGGGGCTTAAAGAAGAGCTTTTGCCTTACCAGTTACCATTCCCACGCTCGTGGCAGAGTTTCGTGACAGGCGAACACGTGTCATCAATTCCAACTATGAGGATCTGACACGCGGACGCGTCAACACTCTATTTCTCTTCTTCTCCTTCTTCTCCCTCATTTTGTTTCAAAGCGAACGCTTTCTTCTTCCTCTATCTCTTTCGGGTTCGGGTAAGCCCTTCTTCTCCTTTCCTTCTTCTGTATATTTATTTCTTCTTTCTTTTAAACTTAACATTGTAGAATCCATTTCCTTCTATTTTTCTTCAAGCTGTGATCTAGATCTTTACCCATTTTCTCTGACTACCCACAAAACTGTTGGGTTTCTGTGCTTCTCCTATTCTGATTCCCATGCTACATATATATATATATATATGTATTTTTTCTGAATTCGTGTGCAATAATACTAGTTTATTGATTCAGAATTTGATGTGTTTTTGTTTTTTGCTTCTACTTCAGATTTTCAAGGAAGCGCAGAACTATGCCACCGATCAGGAACGAGAACAGTTCTGAGAATACCCAGCTGAGATTACTTAAGGTTGCGTTTTCCCATTTCTTCCTTTGCTTTCTCTCTGGTCGGTTATGCTTTTTTGGTTTCAATTCAATTCTTATTGAGAATCTTTGCATGAAATTTGCGTAGCAGGGTATGAAATTCTATATTGAGATGAGGAGAAAGAGAGAGTAATTCCACTATATATAATGTTTTACATCTTATAGTTATGGTAAGTATAATATACAGATTGCGTTTAGAATGGAAGCATGTAAGGGTCTTATTGTTATTATTTTGAAATTCTTGCCTTGAATTGCTCTTTTTGAATTCTTCCCTTAAATTGTTGTGTTGGATTGCTTTCTTTACCGTTACTGACTTGCATTGTTTTTCCTTTGATTTTGATCTCCCTGATTATTGCCTTGTGCTTATGACTTTGAGTTTCTTCAGTCTTTGTATCTTGATTGGCTTGATTACTACCCCTGATGGTGTTTTCAATAGTACTTTTAATGGAATGCATGACACTATCATGGAGGAGCAAGGGAAACAATGTGCTTTCTATTCAAGCCAGATCCTTTTCGATTTTCAATAACATTTGATTTTTACTTTCAATTTATCTGTATGTCTAACTAAAATTAAACAATTTACTGATTTAGAAAGAGAAGAAAAAGTTGTCAAAGCAACTGAAGCGCACAAAACAGAGGCTGGAGAAGGACAAGGCAAAGGTAGAAGAGATAGAAATCGAATTAGCTGAATGGGGAAAGCTGGTTGAGCTCGACAAAATGGAAAATGCGTACACTGAATATTGCATTTTTCTTACACATGATATTATTTCTGCAGAAGATGACGGTGACTTTGCGAGAGCTGAACTTCTTAAGCACTCTGGGAGGTTGGTTTCATTAGAACATTTTTCATTCAAGTATTTATGCATTTCATATAGTAATTTTCTTGTTTTAAATTACTGAGTGATAATTCTTGTTTCTTTGCTTAGTGTGTTGTTGGCCAAGATGGAGGAGGAAATACAAGCTTTCAAGAATGCTGGTGGGAATCGTGAGTGAGCAGTATTTCTTATATATCTTTGGTTTGGATTGTACTATGATATTTGAAGTAATTCTCAGTGTTACCTCTTGGTACTTCTAGGTTTTAATTTTCTGTTTCATGACTTCAGTTTTACTGGATTGCTGCTTATGTTCTATTGCAACTTCATGACAAATTATCTATGTCTTTATTTACTTTTGGTTAGCTCTTCTCTGCTTCTTGTTGTTACTGTCAAACAGACAATTATCTCATCTAGATTGCCCTGTCCCTTAATAAGGTGATGCTAGATTGATTCTAAATGCTGCAAAGCACTGAGCCACCATCTTTAATTTCTTGCATTGGATGTGTTTCATTTTGGAATTTCTGTCATAGTTATTGCTGTTTCATCCACCTTGTGTGTTAGTTGAGACAACATAACAACAGATATTACAATTGAAGGTCTAGATGTCAATCTGGTCAAGAGTCTAGAGGAATCCATTGTTGTTTTGGTATCCAGTATCTAATGAGCCCTTTTTTTTTAAGTGTTCTTTATTCCTCATCCAATTCCAAATGCATGTGTTGTGTCGGAATTTGATAGCTGAGGTTTATAAGCTGCATAAACTGTTATGGGACACACTGCAATCAGTTAAAAAGGATTTCATATGCCATATAGGATGTTATTTTTCTCTTCTGCTTATCATTATTTCTTTGAGAACCTTGTTTCATTTGATCAATACACTGGGATTTGGTTTAACATTTAGTTATATAGTTTGCATAAAAAGGCAACAGTTATCACCAAAGGGAGGACAAGACAAATGACAAATTTAATATAGCTGTATAAAGATCTTGACAGAACTATTTTGATATAAAACTTATAGTATTGCCGGTTTGATCTGCAGTAATTTGGCCGGATCTTTTCTTTTCTTTCTTTTGAATAATGAATGAGTAATAGTAGTGTCAAACATCTTGTTTTGTCCAGCCAGATTTTGATGCCAATGAATTCATTTTCATCTCTGTAAGAGGTGCAGGAGAGGTAAATGTTTGAGATATGAAGCATCCCTTTTTCTATTTGGATGGATAATGCTAGCATTTAGACATGCTGTCTTGTGGTAATTATTGTTATTTCTTCAGCAATCTGGCTTATATCTGGTTCATGATTGATGCCAAAACAACACATTTCTTGTCCCTCTGGTCAGTCCTGCATGTTTGGTTTCAATGGAATTGCTATTCGAAAATCTCTTTGCATGCAAATTGGGTAATTAGACCCTTTTCTGAATTCTAGATACAAGGCCTTTTTCCTAGATTACCATGTCTTTTGATAAAATAATGCTAGATCGATTCTAAATTCCACAAAGCACTGAGACATCTTGATAATTTAAAGATCTATGGAATACTCAGAAAATGAATGAACATGTTGTTTTGATATCTTCTATTTAATAATTTCTCTCTTAAGTATTCTTCATTCCTCGTCCAATTTCAACTGCATGTGTTTCCATAGGAAAATGATAGCCAGAAGTTGCTATACTGCACAAACTATTATGCTTTAAATTTGTTCACAGGACACCCTGCAATCAGTTATAAAGAATTTCATCTGGCTATACAAAAGGCTCTTTTTCTCTTCTACTTAACCATTAATTTGTAGCCTAGTATCAGTTAATCTAGAGACTCTAGGATTTGGTTCAACTTTTTTGCATAAATAGGAAACAGTTATCAGTATCACCAAAGCAAGGGCAAATTTAATATAGCTGTATAAAGACCTTGATAGCACCAGGAGGGTGATTAAGAACTCCTGGCATTACAGGTTTGATTTGCAATAATTGATTAGGCTAGAACATTTCTTTTCTTTCTTTCAAATAATGAATTAGTATCGTACATCTTGTTTTATTAACCAGCAAGCTCTTGACGCCAATGATCATTGTCATCTCCGTACGAGGCGCAGGAGAGGTAAAAATTAGAGATATGAAGCGTCAAAATTCTATTTAGGAGGTTAATGCTAGCATTTAGACAGGCAGGTTTTATAAAAAGTCGTTGGCTTTAATACATAGATAACGATTTGCACTGTTCTCCATTTTTTTATAAGTGGAGTGATACCGTGTAGGCACTAGGTGTGGAAGCTGAGAATTACAGCAAAAATTGGCAACCAAATTATTGAATCCAAAGTCTATCCTAGTGAATAAACAGTAGTAAAAGACTTTATGCCATTTAAGATGTTTTGTCATTCAATACCATTAACAAATTTGAAACAGAATGCAGATTACAGGAACCGGGATTTTTGCTTTCAAAGAGAACACACGATTTCAAGGACCTTTTTAGGAACTTTTGCCACTGGAACATTACACTTTGAAGTTGACATTATTTGTTTAAAATTTTAATTATTTTACTTAAATTAAGACAAAAAGAATTGAAAAAGCCAGTCCCCTTGGATTAGAAAGAAGACTTATTCCACTCGATGTGGACAGCAGTAATAGTTGACTCTTGGGCTGAAATTAATTTATTATAAATTAGAAATATAATAATACATTAGTTTTGGCATCTTGGGGATTCGGACCTACTATCTTTCCAATGGAAAGTAACTACACTTCTAACTAGTAGAACGGCTTTGAACTAATTGACGTGGGTTGTATAATATTATGTTTATTTATATTTAATTGAATTAGTGGTTTAACTAATTTAATTGATTAGACTAGTTAAATCAAAAATCACAAGTTAAAATGGTTTGAACTCAAGTTTGGTTTTTAAAACATTGCTATACAAAAAGTTGATAAATTTTAAAATTAAATTTTGTTAAGTTGTTAATTTTTTTTGTATTTGGTAAAAAACTAATATAGAGAAAATTGATAAGAAATTGGTCATCCAGTGAATCATACATAGAGAAAGGAGGAAAGTTTTTTCCATTTTAACGTGGAGAAAGGGAGGAAGTTTCTCTTCTTAAAAAGTGTGGAAAATTTTTCTTACAGGTTATGAATTATGTTATGAAAAATAAGAACTAAAGATATCATTTTTATAAATAACCTTTAAGAGGGAAAGTTTAAAAAAATTTAAGAGGAGAAAGACCCAATTTTGGATTTGTAATCAATTGGTTTTCGTCTACCCAAAACCATTGATGTGATCTTGATCTTTTAATTTTTAGTTTTAGATGCATGTTTGGACTTATAGTTACATTAATCTGTATGGCTTTAAGTTTGTCTCACACAACTAAATTTGTGATGTCATATATGGAGGTACTGTGATTTGAACTCAATACAAACAAAATTAAATAGAAATTTGAGTTTATTGGTTTTTTTTTTCTTTCGCATAAACTAAAATTCTATTATATTAGACATGAGCATCTAGATACAACAATACAAACAAGTCCTTAGGTGGCCAGTGTTTCTAATGAGGAGGACATTGAGTTTTAACATATGTTTTGATTAACAATATAAGTAATTTATTGATAATTTTTTAAAGTAGATATTCTTTTAAATAGATAAGAGATAAAAGAAAATTGTTTTTCATTTTATAGTTAAGATAAAAAAATATGAACAATGATAAATGGAACAAAATTTGGAAACTAAAATCTGAAACTAATGACGTGACATAAGTTATATCATTTAAAATATTAAAAGTTGCATCCTATATTATTTAATAATTGGATTTTTTGTTTTTTTAAGACTCTTGATATTATATACATTAACTAATTTAATTACATGGCATACATTATAGCATTGGTCCCAAATTTTCATCTCAAATTTTCAGCCTCCCTGTCATCACTCAAAAAATATATACATGTTGACTATGCAATCATAAACTAATTATTGCAGGCTTACCAAAAAAACTAATTATTGTAATTATTGACCTTAATTTTAATGTGCCAAAATTTAATGAAAAAGTAAATTAGTTTTTACATACTTCTCATTCAATTAATTAAACTTTTCATTTTAATTTTGATGATGAAAGTTCAATTATAAATGTGAAAGGGTTGATTTTAAAGTTTGAAATAAAATTCATTTTTGAAATGGGAATTGTAGATTTTTCTTATGTTATTTTATGTTATTCTTGGTAACATATTTCTAAGACTGAGTATATTGTGTAATTACTGAATGAAATATGTTTCTAAACGAAATTTAGTTTCTTTCTCCCAAGCTTTCCAAAATACAACTTTGGGCAGAAGGGTATGGAACTAAATAAAAGGGTTTAGACCTTTTGATGCTACTGTTTTCTTGCTTATATGCTTTTATCAAAAGGTTCCGACCCTAAGCAAAAAGGTGTAGAACTTTTACAAATCCTAAAACTCCAACGATGAAGAGGATTAAGAAAAGGTTTGGAACTTATGAAGAGGGTTTGGAACCAAATTGTGAAAAGGAAGTTCTATTTTCCAAATCAGGCAAGATTCTTCTACAAATCAAAAGCAACGGCTAGAAGCCCTAATTGAGCATTATTGGAAGATAAATAGAAGGCATTGGTGATTGAAGGAAGACAGAAAAGAAAAGAAGAGCCTTCATCTTTGAGAAAAAAATAGTTACAACATTTTATATTCTTTGTACTTAAGGTTTTCATTCCAATCATCCTATGATCATTGTTTTCGTCATTCTTTTTCATCAAGAAAGTGAGAGAGGATAGCCTTGTTAGATCTAGAAAAATCATCATTGTGGTAAACGATTAGGTTTATAAGAAATTATAACAAGGGGTTAGTTTGTTGAAAGTGAATATTATTGATAAAACTATTACAAACAGTTTCCTTTACATTTGGAAATTGTAGGAGAGACTTTGAGTTCAAAGCAAACTCTCAAGCAAGTGGCTTGAGAGGTAAACCAAGTATAAGTTGTGACCAAATACTATAATTTATCATGTTTGAGCATTCTCTTCCTTTACTCCTTTAATTTCCACACTTAAATTTACCCATATGTGACTGCATATACTTATTCATCGTTTTACAAATAAAAATTGCATAAATTTTTAAAAACTTAATTCATCCCTTCTTTTGGTTTGCCTTTATCTAGGTCAACAGGAATTTTTGTTTTTGTGGCCAACAATTGTTGCAATGATTTGATTTTCTCTTATTTAAAATTTTTATGTTCTTTTTCCTATTTTTCCCATTTTGTCATGCGTTGAGACTTAGAATTGGGTTGTCTCCAAAATGAACTATTGTACGGCCTGATATAATTTTCTTAAGAGCATAGAAAAATCTTAGAGTATGTCAAAAACATATGGAAAAAAATATGAGTGAAATAAAAAAAGAGTCATTTTATATGTTTTGAATTAAATGCTCTTCTTTATTAAAATCAAATGCATTTTCATATTGCCTTCATTTATAAGCCATAACTCTACTTAATTTACTTTCAATTTACAGTATGAGCTTAGAGTATGATTTTATAGATTGAGAATGATTTTTTCAAT